CATTTCTCATTATTATTTTTATTATTCAGTGAAGTCTTATTGCCATGGTTGCATGTCATGGTCTAATAGATAGTTTAAGTTTTTCATCTAATATTGATTATTTTATTTAAGCTTTATTTCACAACAAAAATGTTTTAGTTTTAGTCAATGATAACCCTGGTAAATATCTATGGTGACTTTCCAGGAACAGAAAAAACTACGTTTAAGTTGAAGCAATAAAATTACTATTTGGAAATTAATAAAAATGAAAACGTAACATATACATTTTAACCTAATTAGTAATACTTTTAAAAATGTTAAATGACAAGCTATTTTAACTATATTTACACCAGTGCAATGTAACAGTTACTTTTCGTAATTTATAAACAGCAGATATTAAAAAGGCCACATTAGTGCTGTCATCCTTTTTCTCTTTTGCTATTACTTTCCTCGGCCTGTTTGTCCTCCTTTTTAAATTCTTAATGCAAAGTGCTACAGCAGAGGAACTTGTGAGTGAGCTTGAATGTCAATGTTTTCTGTAGGTTAATGTCAGTGCTTAATTTGAGTTGGCAGAGGATTTTTTATAGTTGTTGTCCCCATATTTTTCCCCCATAATGTGGAGAAGGCTATGCCTGTTTTTGCCGTGTGTAAGGGGAGAGCGAGAGAGGACCCTGGAATCGTGTGACAGTAGAAGCTAACGATGGATAGATGGATTCAGGCAGGAGGGAAGGATGAAGCAGGAGTGGACAGATAAAGCTGATGCACTCTGAATCTCAGAGAAAAATCAATAGTAGCCGAGAGGGGAAGCCTCAGTCCCCTGTCTCTCTCCCTCTCTCTCTCTCTCTCTCTCTCTCTCTCTCCATTTTCCCTGGATCTCTTTCCTTCCCATAACTTCGCTCTGGACACCTCTGGTCTGTCCCTTCCCCCACAATGACACCAGGGTCTCTTCTTCTCTCTCCTTGATGGTTTGTGGAGAAACAAGGTTCAGAATGAATGCTCTGTGTGCACCATATTCAAGAAAAAATGGGCTTTGCCAAATAAGTAAACCATGACCATCTGCTGATTAAGTTGAACTGCAAGCCTAATCATCTGACCTTCGCTGATGACAGAGACGTGCATGATTCAAATTGAAAGATGTATAAATCATCAAACTGAAGAAAAGGTTTGTCGTAGCTCTTAAGTGGAAAATGTACCATCAGAACAATTTTTTCAACAGTTTTTATTTCTTATTTATTTTTGACTTTATTTTTATTGTTTAGCATAGTTTTATTTATTAATTTATTGTGATTACAAAATCAATCACTGTGTTTTCTTAAATGTTGTGACTGGTGCAGTTTCATCATTAAAAGTGTTAGTGATTCAAAAAAAAAAAAGTAATACTTTTATGCAGCATCGATGCACTCATCAAATGCATTCACTTTCCATTAATCAAAGAATCACGTAAACAAACAAAAAAAAACTAGTTTTCTCAAATCTTAAACTGCACAACTGCTTTAAACTTTAATAAATGTTTCTTGAGCAGTAAATCAGCATATTATAATAATTTCTGAATGTGACACTGAAGACTGGAGTAATGATGCTGAAAATTCAGCTTTTCCATCACATGACATTTAAAAAAACATTAAAATCTTACAGACCCAATCTTATCAAACTTTTAAACGGTAGTGTATTTTTAGGTTTATGTAAATAATTATTATGTAATAAAATTATATTTAAATGCATTTGAATTACCAATAAGAAATATTTCCTTTAAGGATATGTATCACCAACTACCGCATGATTTGATGCACATTGCGATACGCATGTTATGATTTAGTGCATCAGGATGCATCAATATAATGTATTACGAATAAATTTGTGGCAAATTCATCCGAGAGACCTGTGATTTTATCGGCACAGTGCTGCTTTACTTCATATTAGTCAGAGGTGTGTTTCTCTCTCCATTGACTTGAATTTAATGGTGTCCTTTTAAAAATGAATAAATGACTCTCTCTGTCCCGACTAGCGTCCCTCTGTCTTGCTGGCAGTTCTGTTCAAGGTTTATTCTCTTTCCCTCTGTGGGCCTCTTTCTCTTCCTCTCTCCCTATTTCCCCCTTCTTGCGTTCCCGTCTGTTATCATTGCAAAAAGTGTGTGCATTGTTCATTTTATGTATGCCTTGTATCCTTCACAACATGTCAGCGATGAGTTTGTTCTGTAACTGTGGACTGAAAATGCGTCATGATGGTGCCACAGTAGAACAGAACAACCACGGGACGCGTTACACACAAACACACAGTCAGACTTCAGCAGGAAGGTTATGAATGGTTATGACTGACACCGTCCTTATCGGTCCAGTGTTATTTAGAAAACCATTAGGCTATATTAAGGCTTTACATTTTCACTAACCAGCACAAAAGCTGGAAATTAAATATTAATTGCAACTCAGATTCATAGACAATCTTTTGTTGGAAAATACCTGGGCAGGTGTTGGCAAAAATATTGTTTGAATGATCATATAAAATTATTTAGCTATTGTTGTAAGTAATTAAGTGTTTCTAAGACTTTCCCAATAGTTAAAGGGTTAGTTCACCCAAAAATGAAAATTCTGTCATTAATTACTCACCCTCGTGTTGTTCCAATCCCGTAAGACCTTCGTTCATCTTTGGAACACAATTTAAGATATTTTTGATGAAATCTGAGGGCTCTCTGACCCTCCCATAGACAGCAAGGTAACTACCACGTACAAGGTCCAGAAAAGTACCAAGATGATCGACAAAGTAGTCCGTGTGACATCAGTGGTTCAACTGTAAAGTTACGAAGCTACGAGAATACTTTTTTGCACAAAGAAAACAAAAATAACGACTTTATTCCACATGACGTCATCACGCAGGATCTGGGTCAGCGCCGGCGCCGTACTTTTCTGGACCTTGAACGTGGTAGTTACCTTGCTGTCTATGGGAGGGTCAGAGAGCCCTCAGATTTCATCAAAAATATCTTAAATTGTGTTCCGAAGATGAACGAAGATCTTACGGGTTTCGAACAACACGAGGATGAGTAATTAATGACAGAATTTTCATTTTTGGGTGAACTAACCCTTCAATGCTGCAATGTAATGCCCATTTTTCACAATGCAAGTAATGTTATTAATGTTATTAATTTGGATAAATCTAGTCTTGAACTCTTCTATTCCACTTCACAAGTAAAATGGGTTCGTGCGGGCTGTTTCATGCTGACCTGAATGCTTGATTTGAAATATTTTTCATACAGGCCTCAAGTTTCATGTGGGAGACCAACAAAGAGATGCTGTGCTACAAACTCTGTAATTGGTGCATGTTTTAAAGCTTTGAATTTAAATAAAACACATTTTCATGCCTTTTTTTTTCCTTCAGATATTTAGTTGCCCATGGCAACAGCTGGCATGATTACAGAAGGTTTTAAATATTGAGAAACTAAAATCATCATTACTTTGCTAGAAATTTGTTAGTCTGTCAGATATTTTATAATGTCTGTGTCACCCGAAACATGATGCTGTCAGTGTGAAAATGTACCTTTAGTGTAAAGACATCTCTAGTTGATGAGACTTAGACTGAAGATGGTTTAATTAGTAACAGTCAGCCACACACACAGGCCACACACTGAGGCTAAATGAGTCGGACTCTTCTTAGTGCTTTTTTTCTACATTTTTAGATTTATTTATTTATTTTACATCCATATGATACTTTTTCAGACTTTTTTTCTTTTTTTTCACTTATTCTGTAACATGACAATTACAATTAATTTTATTTTATTAAATGTTTTATTGTATTATTTAGCTGATGAGTCTTGCAAACACAGCTATAATTTCCATAGTGCTTTTAGAGACACAACCTTTAGCATGCTGCCAGTTACTGAGACTTGCAGCACACTAAAGTGTGCATAACGGTATCAGCACACTTTTCAGTAGGTAATTCATTCCCTTTAAAGCACCACTGCTAAAAATATTCAAACAATATCATGCACAACCAATGACCGGTTAATCCGAAGTGAGATCGACTAATTTATCAAGAGATTAAATGATAAACTAGTCTATCTTACTTCGTATTAATCGGTTGTTTACATGGTAGTTGTTGGTGCATGATACGGTTCGTGTTCGCTCGTGCGCTGTCAGTATCCTCCTCATACCCAGGTTCATCTCTCTGTCGCTCCCTCTCTCCCTTATCTCAGAGTCGTCAGTCACTCCTTGCTTCACTCACTCGCTCTGTCATTGAGAGAAAAGAGACTAAAAAGAACTTATGGTGACAGAAAAATAGACGCACAAGTTCAAATAAAAAGCTTTTTTGTGGGCACTTCACACACTCCTCGCTCATACGCACAAGCATCCTCGTCCTTGGAGAGTTTTTTTTTTTGGGAGTGTTCAAGGGTAATCCTGTGCTTGTCTGATGAAATGTTCACAGAGACACTGGAAACACGCAAATAAACACAGACGGGCACAAAAAAACAATACAAAAACAAAGACCCAAAGAAAACAAAAGGCTTTGGATGTGTTGTCATGAAAGCACCTTACTATAATCTAGGATTAATGTATTTATCATCGCTCTCTCTTATGTATCTTTCCATCACAACAGCAACATGTCATCATCAATGGATGAAAAAGACTGTAGAAACATCTAGAACACATTTATCTGTAATTAGTAAGATTGCCATTAAATACAGGTTATCCTTTAGAAACAGTAATTTACAATATTACATTAGCTTTTAATTCAGAATGACACTTTATAGAGATCATTTGGGGTGCGAGATGGTGATTATATGGTAGTGATTGTGATTGCATTAACGTAATAACACACCAGGCAAGATTAAAGTAGTGCCCAGATGTCTCAACATGCTGCTGATATCCTGTAAAGCTGCAGGATCAAGAGTCTGTTTTTGGACCTGTTGAAACTGTTGACTGCCAAACATGGCATACAAGCTGTAAATAATTATGCTGTATCACATGTTTGTAGTATTTTAGAGGCTTCAATACGCTTGGCTGTTGGGTTAACTGTTCTTGTGCTGTCTCTAGGTGCAATGGGAGGAGTATACCACTATCATTCAGAGCATGCCTGTGCAGACGCCACTGACAAGGTAAGACATGACTTCTTATAGCCAGTTACTAATGTAATGACTTACAAACAGGCAAATTCTTCATTCCTCATATTGACTTTTGCAGAGGATTTAGCAGTGCTACTCAAGGCTCTAGAGTACAAATGAAAGACTTGGTTATTTGTGTCAATTTAAAATCTAGTTTTGTGTTTGTCAATATGTGGTTTTGTGAATTTTTCTTTTTAATGTTAAAATTCCTTCTGCTCCGGCTAATGTGCAGGGACAAATGAAAGGTGCACACATTATAGTCTGATTCTCAATCTAGTCTCTTATGAGTCTGTTCTTTTTAGTGATTCAAACACATACTTATTTTAGCTTACTGTGTTTAAATCTGTTCATGTGACAATGTGTAGTTATAGTTAAGTCGATAGTACTTCATAAAAAATGAATTAAATGTTTGGTTGGAATCGCTTTTTAGTATAAAGTTAAGGCCAGTTATTGAATTGCATTTATTTCTACTGTTCAATACACTACCTTGAGAGTTATTACAAATTATAGCATGGATGCATTAAATTGATCAAAACTACTATTTGAACAATCTATTCTTCAAAGAATCCTGTTATTCATCAAAAAATAATCGGTAACACTTTACAATAAGGTTCCGTTAGTTAATGTATTAACTAACATTAACAAAGATGAATGAATACTGTAATAAATGTATTGTTTATTGTTTGTTCATGTTAGTTGAAAATGAAAATACAGTTGTTCATTGAATTTGTTAATTAGTCACAGTGAATTAACTAATGTTAACAACACAACTTATGATTTTAATAATGCATTTGTAAATGTTGAAATTAACATTAACTAAGATTAATACATGCTGTAGAAGTATTGTTCATGTTAACTAAAGTAGTTAACTAATGTTAACTATTGAACCTTATTGTAAAGCGTTACCAAATAATCACTGTTCACTCAGAAATATTAAGCAGCATAACTGTTTTAAACATTAAGACATTTTTTAGCAGCAAATCAGCATATTAGAATGATTTCTGAAGGATCATGTGACACTGAAGAATGGTGTAATGATGCTGAAAATTCAGCTTTGCATCACAGGAATAAATTACATTTTAAAATATATATTAAAATGGTAAGTGGGTGTTTGAAATTGTAAAAATATTTCCCAATATTACTGATTTTACTGTATTTTTGATCTTATAAATTCAGCCTTGTGAGCATTAGAGCATTAACGTAATAACACACCAGGCAAGCTTAAAGTAGTGCCCAGATGTCTCAACATGCTGCCGACATCCTGTAAAGCTGCAGGATCAAGAGTCTGTTTTTGGACCCGTTGAAACTGTTGACTGCCAAACATGGCATACAAGCTGTAAATAATTATGCTGTATCACATGTTTGTAGTATTTTAGAGGCTTCAATACGCTTGGCTGTTGGGTTAACTGTTCTTGTGCTGTCTCTAGGTGCAATGGGAGGAGTATACCACTATCATTCAGAGCATGCCTGTGCAGACGCCACTGACAAGGTAAGACATGACTTCTTATAGCCAGTTACTAATGTAATGACTTACAAACAGGCAAATTCTTCATTCCTCATATTGACTTTTGCAGAGGATTTAGCAGTGCTACTCAAGGCTCTAGAGTACAAATGAAAGACTTGGTTATTTGTGTCAATTTAAAATCTAGTTTTGTGTTTGTCAATATGTGGTTTTGTGAATTTTTCTTTTTAATGTTAAAATTCCTTCTGCTCCGGCTAATGTGCAGGGACAAATGAAAGGTGCACACATTATAGTCTGATTCTCAATCTAGTCTCTTATGAGTCTGTTCTTTTTAGTGATTCAAACACATACTTATTTTAGCTTACTGTGTTTAAATCTGTTCATGTGACAATGTGTAGTTATAGTTAAGTCGATAGTACTTCATAAAAAATGAATTAAATGTTTGGTTGGAATCGCTTTTTAGTATAAAGTTAAGGCCAGTTATTGAATTGCATTTATTTCTACTGTTCAATACACTACCTTGAGAGTTATTACAAATTATAGCATGGATGCATTAAATTGATCAAAACTACTATTTGAACAATCTATTCTTCAAAGAATCCTGTTATTCATCAAAAAATAATCGGTAACACTTTACAATAAGGTTCCGTTAGTTAATGTATTAACTAACATTAACATAGATGAATGAATACTGTAATAAATGTATTGTTTATTGTTTGTTCATGTTAGTTGAAAATGAAAATACAGTTGTTCATTGAATTTGTTAATTAGTCACAGTGAATTAACTAATGTTAACAACACAACTTATGATTTTAATAATGCATTTGTAAATGTTGAAATTAACATTAACTAAGATTAATACATGCTGTAGAAGTATTGTTCATGTTAACTAAAGTAGTTAACTAATGTTAACTATTGAACCTTATTGTAAAGCGTTACCAAATAATCACTGTTCACTCAGAAATATTAAGCAGCATAACTGTTTTAAACATTAAGACATTTTTTAGCAGCAAATCAGCATATTAGAATGATTTCTGAAGGATCATGTGACACTGAAGAATGGTGTAATGATGCTGAAAATTCAGCTTTGCATCACAGGAATAAATTACATTTTAAAATATATATTAAAATGGTAAGTGGGTGTTTGAAATTGTAAAAATATTTCCCAATATTACTGATTTTACTGTATTTTTGATCTTATAAATTCAGCCTTGTGAGCATTAGAAACTACATAATACTACCTAATGTGTTGACTATTGTATTATGAACAATTTTCTATGAACAATTTTATAAGCTGTACACAATAAAAACACAGTTTTGATGGCACAGAATTACTTTGAAGAAATCTGCATACAAATGGATTACTTGTATTATATTTTAATATCCAAATTCTTTTTGGGGTTGTTGTATGTGGCTTATTTTGTACCAAGAGTGTTGCTGGTTATTTGTCTTATCCTTATCCTGGTTATTCATCTTAAACTCATCGAGTGTCATGAAGCTGTAATCAACATACACGTTCACTTTGGGAAATGTGCTGTTCTGTCATTGCTGGCCTTTTAAAATCAAGAGCGAGAGGGAGGCTAGACAAAAAACAAAAGGCAGTTCCTGCCCAGTTTTACTCCACTGTGTTTACAGTCAAAAGGAGGAGGAGGGCTAGCCGAGTGCAGCTCCGTGATTGGTCCAAACGGCCTCTGGGGGTGGACCCAGCCCTATGAGGGAGGGCAAGAGGGAGGGGGAGGAATGCAAGCGGGCGGCGGGAGAGGAAGAAGGGATGATGTGGGAGAGAGAGAGGAAGAGGAAAGAATGGAAAGGGGGAGTGGGGGCACTAATGATTTCACCTCCAGCTGTGGGACACAGAGAGAGAGAGAGGGGAACAGTGGCAGAGAAATGGATGGCTGTCGAAATGAAGGGAGTGGAAAAAGACCGGTGGGGCTGTGTTGGTGCGAGCGAGAGACTGAATTATGACCGAATCAAGCTAAGGGAATTTAGTCTGTATTTCTGAGAGGATTTTGAACCATATAAAAAAAAAACTTGAATGCTTTTGCTGCTCTTAGTGGCGAAGAAAAGAAACCAGGCCAACAACCCTTAACATTTCCTGTTTTTTGACAAATGTGTGTGTGAGGGAGAGAGGCACATCACGCACACACACACACACACACACACACAGAAAAGAAGAGTGTTTGGGCCCATGGGTAACTGCGTCTCATCCTGTGTGTGCTGACTGTTCAGAACTAAAAGCATATTTGGGGTGTATGAAGCCATTTTGAAAGCTTTGTGCTCACTGCTGGCCGTCTGTATGAACAGCAGAACGGGACGTGTTGGCTCTTGGGAGGTCCCGAATATAGAGTGCTGAAACTGAGACGTGTGTGAGAGTGAGTGTGTATGTGTGTCCATTCCTAGGCCTCCGCACAGGCAGAAACAAGCTCTCTATGGTGTAGAATGTAGAGGCGGCCTCAAATGGGTTTGCCTGTCAGAGGGAGGAAAAAGAGGGAGGAGAAATGAAAGGCTGGAAAATAATGAGACCGAGGAGGAGATGAGGGGGACCCGCTTATTCAGAGCACTTTCATAAAGTCCCAGCGTTTGAAGAGCAGTCACCCAGCGCAAGGACTCTATAGACTCAGCCTATTAAATATTAAAGTATTACACTGAAACAGAAGCACATTGTGGATACTCGCATCAAAGCAGCGCTTCGGTTAGGCATGTGAGGATGGGGAATCTCCTGCTGATTGTTGTTTCGGGAGGTTGGAAAATGCGACATCTCGTGATGTCAGAGCCTTGCAAGTAGTGCATCTCAGTACTTCAATATTTCCCCTCCAGATGCATAGTTATATGAGAGCATATAAATGTTCAGTCTATGATCGCAGCAATTCGATACTAGTACCGTTATTGGGTAGGGAAGGGTCACAGTGGCGATGATAGTAATAATAACAAAGGTGGTGCTTTTAATTAGCATGGTGTCATCATGTAGTTAAAGAAAAGTTGCTTCTATGAAGTCAACCCCTTTAAAGCACACTGTGCTTTAAAAGTGACAATCCATCTTACTGAAACCAGCCTAATTATAATGGCCTAGTCCATTATGGAGTTCTGCTCATTTTGTGCATTAATGTTGCTGTGCAAAGAAACATATGTTAGTGGATTGGAGATTTTCAATATTTTCCATTCAGAGTTTTCTGCTTCTTTGCAGGTGAAGCTACATTGTGGTCCTCATCCTGATGTTTAACAGCTGGCTGGTTAGGATTTCGAAAATATCAGAGATGTTTGGTTGTTGCACTGTTTCATATTAGTTTGTATCCTTACGTTTTAGCTATGAATGTACCATGCATGTGCACACACAAACAAACCACGTATCAAGGATGTAATAGCGAACCAGTGAGAGTGCACGTTACAGGACAGATGTGAAACAAACAAACAGCCAGATTCCTTATTTAGGGTTGTAATTTACAAACATGTATGTGTTAATACATTTGCAGCACATAATGTCAGACAAATTTTGGATTTGTATTGGACATTGGCAATTTTTAACACTCAAAAA